AACAAAGATAGACGCCATTCGGCTGCGTCAGCTGCGCATGTACGCTCGCTCGTAGGCACAGTCTGGAATCGTACTATAGCAATATCATTTCTAGATTCTTGTGTATCGCCGACCCTCTAAAGTATCTGCTCAAGGAACACTTAGCCGCGACTTGGAGATACGCGAAAAGAGGGAGCCACCTGGAACCTCACATGAATGATGTCGTCTCCAGCACTGGTGTTCGTTGACTTCGAAAAGCCTAACCACCGGTAGCACTGACCGAACGATCGGTGTAGTAGCCTCTTGGTGATAACTCTAACAAATGCCAAATAATCGCCTGGGTCTGATGCTGGCTCACGGAAAGAGAGCAGAAGCACCCGATGCCTGAGAGGGAACCGTACGCCATCTGGTGGGTACTAAAAATGGTGTCCACGCGTCCGAATATTGCACGCATTTCACTGTTGAAACCAATCAGCAAGCCGTAAAGCATCTGATGAGGAATTTACAACCCTCCGCGGCTGAAAGAATTCGCAGGTTCTACAAGCTCACACAAAACGATTTCGCAGTCATGTCTGTCGAGCGCATGGCCAGCGTGGTCAATGAAGCACTCTCTCGACAACCTATAGGTCGAATTCGGTGCTCTGTAATGGAGCATTTATGCGGTTATTCCCGTGTCTACTGCGCTCTACTAATTCCGTGGACGGTTACGCAGCTGCACTTTTTGCCAAACTCAGCAACGGATGATGAGTCAAAGGCTGCAGCATTGATGATGATTTCTTGTGGTACCATACGAGGCCTGGACTCCGCCAATTATTCGTTCGACTTTCACTTTGCACAAATCATCTCTGGAAAAAAGCAAAATTACGCTTTGGAGGGCCATGGGAATGATAAAAAAAACTGGAACCCGCCTAACGCGAGCGTTCGTGCTTCGAGTGGGAGGCCGCTCACAACATAGTTTTCGTTATGGCGGGGGCTCACGTATGAAAACAGCCCTGAAACCCTGTAGGGAATAATGAGCCTTACGCGGCCCGTGGCCGGGCCATCGCGCAGAGCTGCTGCAGCGAGATGCGCTCGGCAGCAAAAACAGCGCCGACGCCGCGCGCCTTTAGTTCTTCTCTTGTCATTCTTCTTTTCTTCTTCTGTGTCTGCAGCTCTGGTTGCTCTCCCAACCGCTTTCCCCTCCTTCATTGTACCTAACCTTTGTTGTGTGGCAATGCACAGGAAGACGTGTGCTGTTCAGGGGGAAGGCGGGGGGGTGAGGGCCGGGAGGTAGGGGCAAATGCTGCCTGCGTGCATGTTGACCACTCAGAGCCAAGTAAGTGTCCAACACCTTCCTACGGTATTAGTGCATGCATCAAAGGGGAGTGTGCGTATGCTTCCATGTGGGTTTGTCTGGCAGCAATAGCTGCTGTAAGGGGGCGTTTCAACAGATGGGATACTCACCACTGCCCGCATTAGCCCCTGGACCATAGGCCGCCGTGCCCAGGAGGCCTGGAGACTGGGGAGAAGATCATCTGCTATTTGGAAAATTTAATCTTTAGTACTCTGACCCTGGTGTACACCACGACGCTCCCTACTACAGTGTTGCGCAATGATGGGCCCGAACGCCCTTGGCGGTGCCTCTGGAGTCTACATTATCTTTGTCCCGTTGGGTTTCCAGTAACGGGGTCTATGCCGCTTACCCTTCTCGCTGGGTAGGGTGAGGCACTAATCCATTCCTAAGGGCACGCTGCCCTCTGCCACAGCTAAGTCCTGCACTGGTGCTTGCTGGGTTGTTGTTCAGCATCAGAACAATCATGAGCACCGTGGAAAGTAGTTGGCAGCGAAATTTATAGTAGAAGACATCCACCCTACCGGGAACCAAACCAAATGCAACTTAGCCTACCAACAATGGTGAGGCCAACTCGTAGCCGGCAAACGGAAGAGGGGATACGCATGAGACTCATCCATGTACACATAGCCTGGTGAATGTTATTTGGTGGATTTGATTTGAAATGGGTAATTCTTACAATGACTCCCTGGAACTGTACTTTCAAACATGCAGAAGGCTGTGGAGGGGGGGGGAAGGTGCCAGCGTTTTCAACGCAAACAGGAACCACAAGCCCCGAGATGCAGGTCCACTTATAAATAGTGTTTATCAAGGCTATCCAGAAAATACAAATAACTCGTGGCGTTGTGCGAATATCCACCGAGAACATTCTATCCCGCATCCGCGTGAACCCCGTAGACGGCCATGGAGTCTTTCTGACGGAGAGTCGCACCCTACACCTAAAAAAACAACAAACAATGCGGTGGGAGTGTGGGATGTACAAAGACACATGGAATTGATAGTCTTCTCAGTGAATGTAAATGCGCCATGGACGCAGTCTCATCCGGCCCGAGCCACGACTATCTGTGCCTTGTCGGCCGTAGAGTCACGACCGCTTCCTGCACAAAGATTGTTTAGCTTAAACCTTCCGTACTTTTCTCGTTCAGTTGCATTCTATCGCTTTCCAATTCCAATTCTAGGCCAACTGTAGCGCAGAGCACTACAACTTATCCGTGGCTCCACAGCTTTTCGCGCGCATTTGCCTCCCATTCATTCTACCTTCGCTAGTACTTCAGCTGCGAAGTTTTCCTTTCCGAGCCCCTTCGGTGGCCTGCAAAACCACTTTTCTCACGATACAGTTGGTAAGAACCGACTAGACAGCTGGTGAAGGTGCCAGCCACAAAGTGAGGTTATTCCGGAGTTGGGGGTAAGTGTAGAAATTCGCTCCTCTCTAAGCGACCCTGTGCTTGTTAAGGCTTCCGCTGCTGACCAGGAGGCTCATGTTGGGATGGAATATGTTATCTTATCCACAACTGGGAAGCTAGCATACCCCGGTCGCGCAGCAGACCCTCCAGTACTGCTGGTTACTCCACTTCGGGGTGTGTAGGCACCGTTAAAGCACCACTCCTGGAGCATTTGTGAAACCCACAACCACCGAAATTGGTCGCAACATCGGCAGTAGAAAGTCCTCCCCACCGGGACACGTCCGGCGGTCTCCTCAACATTCGATTCCCTTTTTATTTGGAGAAAGCTGAGGTGTTCGCGGTTGCAGGACTTCCCTGCCGTCAAGTACCGTTTTGGTGGGCAAACTGATTTGCGTGGAATCCTGCCCCTAAGGCGTTGCTGGGAAAGGAACGCAGTTGCAACCACCTCATTCCAGTAGTCAAAGCATGCACACCAGGCCCTACGCGGAAACTGCCTCCACATCGCATTGCCTATCTCTCCGTGTTTGCAAGAATTTGCAAGGGGAGGCTATTCACTGGTGACTTATCGGGGCGGCAAATAACCTTCCCTTTATGCATCCAGCAGATCCAGTTTTTGCAATTGGAGGAGAGGATGAATCGGAACCGGAAGAAGACCTCCTGGCTGAAGGGGCTCGGAGGCTGGGCGCCCTCGCCGCTGGCGTCTCACCTACAGTAGGGGCATCGCAGAGTAAATATGAAACAACGAGTGCAAAAGTAACGGAAGCGGCTGCGCCGGTTGGGGCCCCTCCTGCTTCGCCTGCCCGTGTTTCTGAACCTGCAGCTTCGCCTGTATTGGGGGTCCTACCGTCACCTCAGAGGTCAAAGCTGTTCTTGGAATCTGACCACTGCGGTGCAGGCGATAGTAGTTCCGGCACACCTAGCTATTGCAGCACAGGCACAGGACAAGCCCGCCAATGTGCAACAGAACGAGCCAGGAACAGCATCAGGACCAGCGCTGCGCATCGCAGTTCGACACTCGACGACAACCCTTTGGCGTACAGACCAGAGGTTGACGGGCCCCCTATTGTTGGGTAAGGCATATTCCTTCACATTCCTGAAGAATGAGGCTTTGGGTGTGCGTACAGAGAGAGCTTCGTTTAGCAGGACTTGGTGCGTTTTTATCCGCAGCATCTTTGTAGTGGTGCAGTCAGCGCTGCGAAGGCCTGAAGTATTGTTCCATCACCAAACAAGCTGCGAATGTCTGCCTCTCCATCCACTCGACATCTCGCGGTGTTCTGAGGTAGGGTTGATGCGTGGAGTCATCTTGACTCTCCATACTTCACGCGTGTGTGCACCAGAACGTCTTCGTGAAATCATATTTAGCAGCTAAACGGGTTTCTCAGAACAGGGGCCAGGAATCACAAGAGAGAAGAGACATGGGCGGGTAGGGGGGGCACATACTCAAGGGAGCGGTATCCGTATGCTAGCCTGTGGCTTTGGACTGCACCCGAATCCTTCTG